CCATCTGGTTTTCTTGTAAGGAGGACATCCAGGAAGGCAATTCTTTCTTGGGATTCCTCTTCGCATGTGAATTTCGCAGAATGTACTTCATTGAATTCAGTAATTATTGTACTCCTATCCGAATCATTATCATAAAGAATGAAGGTATCATCCATATACCGGAATAAAATGAGAACTCTCTGATAAGGTTGTTCATAGGTCCATTTTCTATTTTACTTAGAAAGAAATTAGTTAAAATGGGGAGCCCATCGCACTCCGTGCAATTGCCTGTAAAGCGTGCCTTCAAATTCGAAGTTTACATTCATGGTACTCCTTAATAATTGTATCTACCGATTCAACTGCTCTTGTGGAGCGAGTTATACTTGCCATTGCTCAAGGAACTTGATTTTTTGTGCTCTCATGAGAACACCTACCAGTATGGCTAAATAAAGGTATAGTGAAAACCATCAACAGTTCGGCATCACACTACTTGGTCTAAAACTGGCCAAAAAGCTACAACTGAAGAATCCTTCTCTATCATCTACCGGGTACCAAATAAATTGGCAAAAACATCGAGGTACCGCATGCTCCCAACAGCGGAAACTATTGTGATTCCCGTGAAACAACCAGTGCTTTTGCGCAGAAGAAGCAAGTCTAACCACTACTACTTCTATGGTGGTCTAGTACTACAGGCGGTGTCACCTAAATGTCATATTGTTGATTTTAGTTTGAGATGTGAACAAGACTTGCGTGGACTGTTTCAGTCCCGTGATTCCTGTAATACTGACGGCACTGTTGTGATAAGGAGGAAATCGAATGTCTCCTATTTCGACAGCATCAGTTTCTCTTTGAATTTCTGTTGGTTGTCTCGTATCCCGTTGATTTCTAAGAAAATGTGTCGTTTAACTTATTATATAAAGAAGTTGAGACTATCTGGAATTATCCAACCTTACGTTTTCTCTTAAAGTTTGTCATTTCATGTATTCCATCCATTCTCCTTTATTGTTCACCATTATTCTTTCATGGACTTCTCAAAATAGACTATGTCATATTACGTAGGACACTGAAGACTGTAAGTAGGGTTAGTGGTGTGTGTGTGCCTTTGACTCAACTAACTGACATTGTTGTTATGGATAGGCATTTAAATTCTTACAAGCAGTTGGCTAAAGTTCTCTTGTCTGATACCGAGTATCCTCTCTAGTTATTCACAACTTTTTGCTCGTTTCTCTCTTCAGGGTAAAATTATAAGAAACTCCATACGAATTGCTGCTCGTACAGCTACTAAATATAGAAAATTCTACCATACCACCATATATTTAGCACGAGTTTTGTGTGAAGAGAGATGGTCAGATGTCAGAAAGGAACTTCTTAAATCAGTAACTGAACTGCAAAGTATAAGCAAAGATCATTGTTATTGTTAAGTGTATTATCTATGATATTATCTATCTCTATTTATACTTCATTATGTTTCCATCAACATTCTGTTTATGGTCGTTTCTTTGTTATTACTATTTTTAATTTTATGTATGTACATATTTATTTAAAAGGAGCTAGATTATTGCAATATGTATGTTAAAATGCTGAAAACTCCATTCTGTATCATTATTATTGTCATTTGGAATAAAGTGACTATTATTATTGTTCCCTTGGGTTCCGAGCGGAACATAGCGCTTCTACAACACATCTCCACTTTCGTCTGTTTGAAGCTGTCCTCTTCAACTCCCTGTAATCTCTCATCCTCCTCCCTACACGGTCTCCTGCATGTCATTCTCATACCGATCAATCACTCGTCGCTTCCCATTGAGATTCCCCTCGAGTGATGGCCTGCATTGCGCCTGATGTCACCCGATCGCCTCCGTAGTGGTGTACACTGTGTCCATCTCCATTTTGTCCTACATATTTGTTAAGCAATCGGCTCTTGGTTGGTTCGTTCGTTGCCAGCCAGAGTTTCTTGTTGCTAATTATTTCTGTTCAAGGTGATTATTATAATGTTATTAGTTTAAAGTTATTCACCGTATTTCAATCAACCTTTCACATACTCCACGACTACGACTTTTACATACATCAAATGCAATCGGAATTCGTTGGAACCAGCCAAATATGTGTTGATGTTCAGAAGAAATTCATACAGACCGTTATCTTGTTGTGGTTTACCACACAGCAGATATGACTGACTAACTGAGTCTTAGCAAAGAATGTTGCACAGAAGTACAACAGTTCAGGACGCCTCACTCCATGTAGTACACAAAGGCACAAAAAAGAGATTCCAGAGAACAGTAGCATGAAAAAGCACGAGTTTTTATTGCATCCGGAAGATTGACAAGACTGAATACATATCAGCCACTGAGAATGATTTCGAGTAATACCAGCAGCAACAATCTCAAACCATTGGGGTTCTTAGCATCCTGAGGTCACCATCAACCACCAAGCAGTCTCTACACCATCCAACCTGGCTCCAAGACTTCGTCGGCTGATGTCAGGTTTTAATTTGACTAAACCCTACGTCAGCTAACATCGCTTGTTGGCAAAGGCGATAATAGCTCGGCATGCACAACACGTATCCTAGCCATTAAAATCCATATTGTATAGAGTTTTATAAAAAAAATTAGTTTTTTCCCCTATCATTGTAACTATTATTTGACAGCATTATGTCATTTTGTCATTTGATAAGGTGCTTGTTGAACCCGATTACACAACTTCGTCTTGATTATTCAATATGTTTCTACACTCCGAATACACACAGTGTAATTTATAACAGGAAGTATCTGAGTCATAATTTATTTATTCAAGAACATTTCAAACATACCCTCTTTTTTTGAAATATGATGTTGTAGAGTAGGAAAATGTTTCGACTATTTTATCTAATCTCCTGAGTCCTATTCACTCATATTGATTATTACTCTTTTTATTATATTAAATGAATAAATGCAAAGTCAATTAGTGCATGAATCGAAAACTTCAAAAAGAAAGAAAAGAAAATTAAATTTATGCATGCGGAAAATCACGAAAAGAGAAAACAACTACTATGCGGCTTCTTTTATTGTTGACATGAAAATAACAGAGACGACTCTATGACAATAACTTGTATAGATATATCGAAATAATCAATAGCCGGCTAGATAGTGATTCATTCAATAGACTTGACCTAAAGATAGAACGTCTGTATATATATAAGTTCTGATTTGAATGTAGGGTTGTAAGATTTTGGTGTTTTAGTTGTGGACGTGTTGTTTCCTCAGACGAATTGAGGTTGCCATCCACACGACCAACCTTCCTTCTCTTTTTCAAACTTACTGCCAGTTAGTAGACCTAATGAGGTTCCGAGGTGATTCGAGCAGTAGTCACATCCGTAACACGTGCGTGATTTGAGAGCATTCCGCCATTGAACCACTGATACACTATTAGGGGCAGTGAACTACAGCTGGACATCATCCATTGATCCGTTCAACGTAAAACTTTGCATAGATGTGCACCAGTTCGAGTTCCTACATTCCTTTCATGTTGCACATAAAGCAAGAGAAGAGAGTAAAGAGAGTTTCAAAAGAGAGAGAGAGAAAGATAGTCTACACGAGTGTAAGTGACGGAAAAAGAATATAGTAATATGGAAAAACAATCGAATTTTATTGGGTCTACCCTATCGCTAAATGTTACTCTTAGATATACTGGGGAGTAGCGAAAGGTGAAGACGTCAATAAAACATCATAGACAAGATGCCGAGTGCCACAGACTTAGGCTTGGTATCGCAACCAAGTAACATATTACACCATGCCTATGAACGATTTAAAAGTCGCCTTGTCAACCTTAACCAACGAAATCCCAATACTGTTCTGCAGGACATTCAAGAGTTTATCAGCAGGTTGAAGAGTTTATTGTTAAATGTCCCTAAGACACTACATCACGAATACGGTCTATTCCTATGAATCATTTATTTTTTGTATTAATGTTAGTATTCTCATCTCACATCTGTACGTACACATTCATAATATAAACATCTACGCCTCAATTGTTGTTACACTTCATTTCCATTCGCATTGAAAAACAAGAGTGAAAGTTTAAAAGGGACTTAGATTGATTATATCATGATGAAAGTGGCTTGAAAGTGAGTTAGAAACATTAGAGCAATTTACGTCTTATCCACTACACATCAGCCAGGCGAAGGTTACTGGTTCCCTTTTTTATTCCTTTACGTTCCCACTGGAACATAGGGTGGCTTCAAGCTAGAGACTTGACGTTTCGGTAGCGATGGCGTTTATTTTTACGGGATGAGGTCACTAGCGAGCCTCATGTCCAACCTTTCCTCTTTACCAGTCTTATTACTACTGGTTCAATGAGGTAAAGGAGTGCGTCGGTTTCCGCTGATCTGACCCCGGACCACATGAGGCGTGGCTGGCGAGCATTCTACTGCTGTGTCACCGACGCACGACGCACGAGCATGACTGGTTCCTAACATATCCATAAACCTGACTAATTGTCCCCATTACTTATACCGTACAAACGCTGAGGGGATTTATTAGCTAGCTCAAATTGGATACTGGTTATGGGTAGGATAAATATATGTGGTTCTGAATGCTTAGTTTCAGAAATTCTAAATTAAATCCAGTGCATCGGTGGCACAGCTGTAGAATGCTCGCCAAACGCGCCTCATATGGTTCGGCGTTCAATCCCCGGCCACCGACGCACTCCTTTAGCCCGCTAAGCCAGTAATAAGACTGATAAGTAGGCGGTAAGGTTGGGCATGAGGCCGGCTACCAACCCCATCCCGTAAAAAGAAATAAACACCACTGCTACCGAAACTGCAAGCCTCTAGCTTGAAGCCGACCTATGTTCCAGTCGCAGCTTAAAGCGATAAAAAAAGAAAGAAATAACATTTAGAAAAGGAAATTAATTGTTGTAAAAAACGCTCAAAATTCCCATCTGTGTAATTACTATAGTTATTTGGAATGAAGTGGTAATTATTAATTATTGTTATTATTATTACTAACCTCCCACCCCCGTGTTTTTCCTTCTGTTTTATTTATTAGGGACTGGAGAAGACTGCAATTTCTAACAGTAATAATCATAACAATAATAGTAATAATAATGAGAACTATGATTCTATTAGAACCTCCAACGTGCCACCTCCGCATGTAAATAATGTTAATCCCATATGTCTGAATAAGCCACCAAGTCCACGTCTTCCAACAAATGTATCCTCATCTCCTCACACACAATCATCCACTTATTATTGGACAGGAAATCCCACTGGTCCAACATTCTCCTCTTCCACCAATCAGAATTTAAATGTCTCCCAAGGATCAGCTTATCCGCATTCAACATCATCATCAACGGCAACAACACCGACGCTGATAAATAATGGTAGCAACAATAGTGTCAATCCTACAAATTCTTCATATGCTGCAAAACCTCCTGGATATAATTCCGTGTCATCAACACGTTTATTGACTGAAAATGGGAATAGAGGGAATGTTTCTGTTAAAAAGCCTATCTCACAGAAACCATCAAATCATGTGTCTTTTAATCTACACAATGCACAAGGTAAGCTATATATTATTATTATTACTATTGTTATTATTATTTATCATTGTTTCCTTTAGTTCCTAGAGGAACATAGGGCTTCAGCCACACGTCTCCATTGCGTTCGGTTCTCCACCAACGTTTTCACATGGCTCCACACGTATGCCCACATGCTTTCATCTCCTCTTCACATCACCTCCTCCATGTTACTCTATCCTCGCACTGACAACCAACTCACCGCTTCCCATTCCGGTTCCACTCGAGCGATGGTCTGGCGTCTGATGTCACTCACTTGATGGTTTGTTTTCTCAGAGTATGGTCAGCCAATCCACCTTCATTTCTTCCTACATATTTGTTGCAAAATTGGTTCCTGATGGATTGGTTCGTTTATTGCCAGAGATCTCTCCCTGTTGCTGATCTCCTTTGGCCGGTCATCTGATCTTGAGTAGTATTGAACGAAGACAGTTGTTGATGAAGTTCTGTAGTTTGTTTGAAATGTTCTTCATGATGCACCAAGTCTCTTTTCCGCATAGTAAGTAGCACTGACTGCACGTTGGAGCTGAAAATCCGGATATTATTTTCGTTTTCATGCTGAGTGCTGTTGACCTCCACACAATGTTTCTTATATATAAACTTAAAATTTAAGTGTTGGTTTGAAGGGTTTTGGTTGGTTACAGGATTTAATCATGAACTGTCATGCGTTAGAGGACCATTGGAGAGAGAGAGCTGTTTCGTCTATCCAGTTTGGAATTGTTCAGTAGTACGCACCTGCCACCAGGGTTCTGACCCACGATCTTCTGGTTACATGGAAAGCTCGTAGAAAATTCAACCACTTAGACCTGATCCAATGATCTACGAATTCCAACTTCTGCCAGTTATGGATATGATATGGTGGACCACCAGCGAATGTCATCCGCAAGTATTTCTCCGCAAACCTGACTTGCTATACCGCATGATGATGAAATCCTGAAACCAATCAAATCCCTGCACACCAACCCTGTTGAATATCAATCTGAGGCTCACTGGCACTATTCAGATAGGTAGTTACCTGGGTTCTAGTCAGATGTTTTAACCAGGGAGGGGGGTACAGCACATCAGGTCTGAAGACAAATACTTTCCAGCGATGACATTAGTTAAAGCCAGTCACGATGTATCGTGAATTGGCAGAAGTTGGAATTCATGAGCTGGCTATATAGTCAGGTCCCAGTGGCTTAATGGTCTACGAGCTCGCTGGCCTTGTAACCTGAAGGTCGTGGTTTCGAATCTGAGTGGATGCGTACTGGTGAAGAGTCCCAAACTAGGTTGACGAAACAGCTGTCCAGTACTCTCAGCTGGTTTTCCAATGGTTCTCTAACCAATGTCAGCTCATGATGAAATCCTGAAAAAATTGAGTCGTTTTCCTTTCCATAATCCTTCTAAGTACATTCTAGCGTAGAGTTGTTTGTTTGTCTACCTAACTAGGATAAAGTTTGTGTTCATCTTGTCGAGTTTTAATATTTCCGAGAACAACAAGCACCAGTCACTTTCACTTACGTAGGCAGCATCGTTTCAACTTCAGACAGGAGGCACCTATGAGTATGTCAAAGTCAGTTAGCCAGGATTGCGAAAGCAAGATAGACATTCATTAATCTAAAATCATTCTGGAAATCTCCTGCACACAAAGTGGAGAACAAGACTCTGATTTTCAACACTAGTGTTATTGTAACAGTAGAGGATGAAAGACTAGATAAAGGAATGTTTATGTGTCATTTAGGTTACTTCATTCACTTATTTAGGGAGCATTGTGACAACTACAGGAGGAACGGACGATGACGTCAAATCGAGAATCAGGAAGGCGAGAAACAAATTCATCAACCTGAAACCAATCTGGAAATCTTCGTCACTCAGCCTGAATCAACAACAAAATTCGGATTTTCAACACAAACGTCAAGTCAGTTCTTCTATACGGATCGGAAACTTGGCGGGTCACAAATAATATTTCCAATAGCCTGTTGCCAACCTTTATCAACAGCTGTCTTCGTTCTATACTCAAGATCAGATGGCCGGAAAGAATCACCAACAAGAAACTGTGGGAAGAAACAAAACAAGAACCAATCACCCGACAAATATGCAGGAGAAAGGGGAGATGGATTGGACACTCGCTGAGGAGGCGGCTGGGTGACATCGCGCGTCAGGCCATTGCTCGAGTGGAACCGGAAAGGGAAGCGGCGAGTGGTTCGTCGGTGCAAGGGTGACATGGGGTAGATCGTGCGAAGAGGAATTCAAACAGTATGGATTAACATGGATGCAGGTGAAAAGTATAGCAGAAGACAGAAGCAAGTGGAGACGTGTAGTTGAAGTCCTATGTTCCACTAGAAACCCAAGAAAGAACAACCTGACCAAATTACGTATACCTTATCTTCAAAGCACCATTTGCACAGATATTCCATCTTGTGCCTGCGACTTCTTGCCTTTCTTCATATTGTGTGTGTTTCTTTGTGTTCTTATGACTCACGTCTCCCATGTATCTCATCAACGCTGCATCATTTGCCTTTTCTCTTACATCAAATTTATCTTTCTTCCTGCTATTTGATGCTTTTTATGCCAATGAACATCTCTTTATACATACTACTGATAAATCTTGACAGTAGTACACGCCACATCATGTCAGTGCTTCTATATGCTTCAGTGATATGGCATGTACACTACATCAAATATTTACAACAGGCTACTACAGAATTTCATCTGCATCTGCCTTTGCCAGCTCTATAATGAAAATCATATGATGCGTCGGTGGCACAGTGGTTAGGGCTCTCGCCGACCATGCACATGGTCCGGGGTTCGATCCCCTGCCGACGCACACCCGATATCTATGGTCGGCCTGCAAATTTGGGCCACCGATATCCATGCTGAAAATGCCATACATGTACTGAAAATACGGTGTGGCATTAGGCTGTAATCAAATATAAAAATAAAAACAAAATTAAAAATAGAAAGGGTGAGTGGCGAGGAATTCTGGCGACAAGCAAACAAGAATGTGTTACCCAACAAACATACTGAAGAAAATGGCGATGTGTTAGAAACGCACTGAAGAGACTTTCGAGTGATGTGGCGCACTCCAGAAGCCACTCTAGTGGAACCGGGCTGGGAAACGACGAGTTAGACGGTAAGTCCGACGGTGGCATGGAAGAGACTTGGTGAGGAGGGAGAAAATGAAAGCTGCTTATCGGCAATCGTGGATAGAAAAGACTGCAGAAGATAAGAGGATAATTGATGACGTCCTTTCCAAGCCCAATGTCCAACTTGAAATCCAAGAGGATAGTAATATTCAATATAACATTATAATTTGCTTATAATGGAGCTCTGTTGACTGGTAAATAGCATTATTATTATTTATGTCATTATTCCCTTGGGTTCCGAGTGGAACATACGGCTTCAACAACACATCTCCACTTTGTTCTATATTCTGCTGTCCTCTTCACCTGCCTGAGACCACGATTGACCATAATCTCTCATCTCCACCTCCTTGCCACAAGATCTCCTTCATATCACCCTCTCATCGACCACCTATTTGGATTCCACTAGAGTGATGGCCTGTATTGCGCGTGATTTCATTCAACAGTCTTCTCAGTGGCGTATACCGGGTCCATCTCCATTTTCTCCAACATTTAGCATTAATGGATGAATTACTTTAGAACCTGATAGAGAATTTATTGAAGTCACCCCATTGTTCACTCTACTTTTTTTACTATAGTTTGGTTTGTAAGGGATAGTTATGTTTTTACTAGTTGATCACGGATTGATATCAGTTGAAGAACCATTGAAAACCAGCCACAGGGAGTACTGGACAGCTTCTGTCTCGTCCAAGTTCGGGTATCATCGGGTCGCGCTAAATGCATCATGAATTAGTAGAAGTTAGAACTCATAGACTGGCCATTGAATCGGGTCCCATTGGCTGAATGGTCTACGAGCTTGCTTGCTTGTAACCGGAAGGTCCTGGACTAGAATCCCAGTGTGTGCGGACTGCTGATGATTCCCAAACTAGGACGGAGGAAACAGCTGGCTGTCCAGTACTCCCTGTGGCTGGTTTTCAATGGTTCTCTCTAACTGATATCAATCCGTGATCAACTCGTAAAAACACTCTAGTTTTATTCTTGTTCTGAATAATAAACCTACAAATAAATAAATAAAATTAGTAAATAAATGAGGGCGTGTGTGAAAGCACACACACACAAACACGGAGTATGTGTCTAATTGAATTAAATGTGACTGGCAAAATTGTATAAAAATGATTGATGAAGACCCCATAGCTCTTTGGTCCTTTGACCTAAATTATTATTTCTATGCCATCATTACACCTCAGCCATTTATCATCATCATCATTATTATTGAACAACGTGATGTGAATATTTCGAAATAAGGCATAAAATTAGAGGTAAAAACTAATAATATAATCAAGTGAAACAGAACAATCAATTATAATTATTTTTTTCAAGTTTTTGCCTTTTTCGAGAGAATTGATTGATTGATTGTGCGATTGATCATAAACTGACTGATTATCAAGTATTGGTTTGTAGGGATTTGGTTGATTGGTTACAGGATTTCATCATGAGCTGACATTGGTTAGAGAACTATTGGAAAACCAGCTGGGAGTACTGAACAGCTGTTTCGTCCTAGTTTGGGACTCTTCATCAGTACGCACCCACCGGGGTTTGGTATACGAGCTCGCCTTGTAACCAGAAGGTCCTGTGTTCGAACCCCTGATGAAGAGTCCCAAACTAGGACGAAACAACTGTCCAGTACTTCCAGGTTTTCCAATGGTTCTCTAACCAATGTCAGCTCATGATGAAATCCTGTGACTGATTATCAGTTAAGAGAACAGTTGAAAGCTAGTTAGGAGTGCTGGATATCCATTTCGACCTTTTTTTTATTATTATTGTTTCCTTTAATTCCTAGAGGAACATAGGGCTTCAGCCGAGAACTCTTCAACAGTTCTCAGCCATGACCATCCCACTCCCAGGGATCGAATCCAGCACCTTCAA